AAAGAACGTAGATTACTATTCTCTAACGGCTGGAAACCAGTAATTACAAGAACATTGTTAAAATCACGTTTGTTTGCAACGGTTGACACTGTATCTCATCATGCGTACCCCGGTTAGTTCACTTTGAATAGCTCTTCCAACGTTATATGGACAGGTTACGTCTTGATCAAGCATTCAGTTTGAAGCTGAAAGAACGTAGATTAATCTCCTGTCATTGAAAATAACAATAAACAACCAGAACACTGTTAAAATCGCATTTAATCGCGGAATACCACAATTTTGACCGGTGGCGCCATCCGTGGCAATTCGCTCAAACTGCTAACCAATTATATGGCTAGCAGTTTCAGCGATTCGCCACGGATGGCGCCACCGGTCGAAAAAATAGAGGTATTCCGCGATTAAATGCGTTTTTAACAGTGTTCTGATTGTTTATTGTTATTTTCAATGACAGGGGATTAATCTATGTTCTTTCAGCTATAAATCGAGTATTTTATCTAGACGAAAGTTATCCGTATAACTGTGTAAGAGGTATTCAAAGTGAACTAACCCGGGTACGCATGACGCCATACAGTGTCAACTGTTGCAAACAAATGTGATTTTAACAATGTTCTTGTAATTACTAGTGTCCAGCCGTTCGAGAATAGTAATCTACGTTCTTTACTCGTTGTATCTAATGCAAAACGAAGAAGAATCATGCCTTTTCTCTATTCCTTTTCCTTATTCTGTAAATTCATTGATTGGAATATGAATGCTAATGGAAGTATGAATATTTTCACAGGACAATGATATAAATGGAACTTTAACACTTTTTTAAGTGTTACAGTGATATTTCGTTGGCCTCCGTATTAGCGCATTGCAGGGCCGGGGTCCCTGGCGCCACCTGCGGGGGTTCTGTGACCCCCCCATGTCCCACCCTGTAGCTTGGAATATTTCGCCATCAAAATGGTGGGGGCGCCACTACATGTCCCATAAATCCCAAATTTTTCCGGCACATTTCTGAATCCAAGATGGCGGGAAACGGTGGGGTCACAGAACCCCCGCAGAAGGTCCTGCAAAAATTGGAACTAATTTCAGAACTTCCAAAACTTAAAAGTTTTAGTATTAATAATTTTGTTATTATTTCTTATTCTTTTTTGGTTAATTAATAAAAATCATTATTTCAATGGATATTTACGAATACACTCATGTTTTCTATGTCTTTTTAATTTTATATTATATTCTAAAGTATATATTATTTTTGTTTTACAAATGTAGAATGTATGGTTGTACAAAGAATGTTTGTCAGGATACGTATATGCGGTATCGAGACCGTGATGCATATCAGAATATGTGTGCATTAAAAAACATTATAAAACTACAATCATATAATAAACTAAATTTTTAACATATGAATAGTCCAATCATTATCACCTAATAATTAACAGAAACTAATAGATGATAGGATGATGACAGATAATCTGTCCTACAGTACCTCTGACGAACCTTAAAAGGAATTAAATTCGGAATCGTAAGGTTCGTGCATTGGAGTAATGACGCCATCTACATATATACATTACAAAAGAAGGTTCTCGGTGATTTCCCCTGAAGCTCTGTTATAAATGGCGTATTATGCTTGCCAAAAATCCGAAACTAGTTTCTGATTGGTTTGAAGCACAACATCCTTCTTGGTAACCAATAAAGGAGAGATCTAACGGAAAACGGACACAGAAAAATATACTGAATGTTTCAGACAGAAGCGCCATCTGAAAAACGATAATTCCTTGTAATTGTGCATTGCCGTGGAGTTGAAGTAACGTTATTCAGTAATAAATTGTGTACGATCGTTTTAACAGTGATTCAAAATGGTAATTGATTGATTTTTACATTTTAGTGTTTATGATAAAAAAAATATAACATTCATACCATCAGACATCAGAATATCAACGGGCTAACTTTCGTCGCCCGGTTTCTTATACGTATGAAGGTGTGACAAATGGCGCACGTGTGTCAATAAAATGATTTTTACAATATTAATATTAATCTCATTTATTAAAAGATTTATTTCTGAACAGTATACTTGTGCACCACCCGGCCTTCTTAATTCATGAGTTTTTTGCACCACAGCAGTTGCGTCTAATAAAAATCTTATATGATAAATTTCGTTCTTAAACATTACATATGATTTACAGAGTTGTCGATGCGGTTTGCAGATTTCAATTAAATTAATGTGAAATATAAACATCAATTTCTAGGTATCCTTGAATCCTGTTAGGATCCTCAAAAATGAGGCAGAAGAGGAAAAGGCAGAGATTGCCAGGTTGAGTTTGTTCGTAGGAGCAATAGCTATTGGTGATTTAGTTAAATCTACTCTTGGACCTAAAGGTATGGATAAGGTATTGGTGGCACATGGCAGATCAGCAGGACAGGTTCAGGTTACTAATGATGGAGCAACTATTCTTAAAAGTGTTGGTGTGGATAATCCAGCTGCTAAAATTTTGGTTGATATGTCTCGTGTGCAAGATGACGAATATGGAGATGGAACCACTTCTGTAACTGTTCTTGGTTTGTATATTATTATGCAAATGTCTTTTGAAGTCCTATGAAATTTAAGAAAGGTAATAAAATATATTGTTTCTCTTTCTAGCTGCTGAATTATTAAGAGAAGCAGAAAAATTAATTGACCAGAAAATTCATCCACAAACTATAATTGATGGTTGGAGAAAAGCCACTAATGTAGCTCGAGAAGCTCTGTCCAATGTTACAACTGATTATTCGGCACAGCCTGAACGTTTCCAAAAAGAATTATTAAATATTGCACGTACAACTCTGAGCTCAAAGATTTTGGCCCAACACAAAGAAGACTTCAGTACACTTGCATTAAAAGCTGTATTACGTCTGAAAGGATCTGGCAATTTGTCAGCTATTCAGATAATTAAAAAACGTGGTGGAACATTGGCAGACTCCTATCTGGATGATGGATTCTTGCTGGATAAAAAACCTGGAGTACATCAACCGCAAAGTATAGCTGATGCTAAAATACTCATAGCCAATACTCCTATGGATACAGATAAGATCAAAGTAAGTAAAAAGTTTACAATATAAATTCCTAATGGACGATATTTCAATTTAATATTAAAACTAATACGTGTATTGATTCACAGGTATTTGGATCTAGGGTTCGAGTTGATTCAATGGCAAGGATTGCAGAATTAGAATCAGCGGAAAAAGAGAAAATGAAGGTAATACTTCTATTGCTTCTATTAAATACAAAATTTTACATCTACAAAATTAATATTGCCAATAATTACACGATATCTCTGATTGATCTAGGATAAAGTTGACAAGATTATAAAGCATGGCTGCAATGTATTTATCAACAGACAATTAATTTATAACTATCCAGAACAATTGTTTGCTGATGCTGGTATTATGGCCATTGAACATGCAGATTTCGATGGAATTGAACGACTTGCTCTTGTCACTGGTGGTGAAATAGCTAGTACTTTTGACAACCCAGATATGGTCAAACTTGGAAAATGTCAACTCATTGAACAGGTATGAATATAAAATCGATTAAAAATCATGATCCGATTTTAAATGTTTCTACTTTCCTAGGTAATGATAGGTGAAGATACACTGCTGAAATTCTCAGGCGTTCCTTTAGGCGAAGCATGTACGATAGTCATTAGGGGTGCCACGCAGCAAATCCTTGATGAGGCTGAAAGATCATTGCATGATGCTCTGTGTGTATTATCAGCTACTGTACGTGAGTCTAGAATCGTTTATGGTGGAGGATGCAGCGAGATGGTGATGGCTTGCGCTGTGATGAAAGCGGCGGCTGCAACTCCTGGAAAAGAAGCAGTTGCAATGGAAGCTTTTGCCCGAGCTTTGCAACAATTACCCACTGTTATTGCCGATAATGCTGGTTATGATTCCGCCCAGCTAATTAGTGAACTTCGAGCTGCGCATAATTCTGGCGCAAGGACGATGGGTCTTGGTATGTTGTGTATTATAAATATTATTGTTCTGTGATTTGTACAACTACGAGATAGGGCGTAAAAATATTCTCGTTTTTTTTAACAGACATGGAGCGAGGAAAAGTGGGGTGCATGATACGATTAGGAATCACTGAATCTTGGGTTGTGAAGAGGCAAGTTTTACTTAGCGCCGCGGAAGCAGCTGAAATGATTTTACGCGTGGATGATATTTTACGAGCGGCGCCCAGAAAGCGTGTCAAGGACCGCGGACGTTGTTAATTACAAAAACGCCCTATGTTCTTTCATTGCTTTAATTTTGTTTGCACTGCTTCTTCGTGATACGAATTCTCTGATCAGATGATCGACAATTTTGTTTTAAATATCATCCATTCTTGTTAATGAACCTCAGATTAATTGCAACTTACTGATATCGATATACTGTTCATTCTTCGATTTCTGCAAATATACATATTCATTTTTATAGTGCGAAATCTTTACATTACCAATTGAAAAGGTACATAAAGGAATTTGTAAAACAATGAGAACAACTTGTGATCATCATTTTTTATAACAATACAATAGGTTCAACATCAATAAATGCTTTAACCTATATAGCGTTCCTCACTAAACCCTGCACTGGCGACGATTTTATACAAAATAAAAAATATTTAATTAAAAATTATCAACAACCGCATTTATAGAAAATATGGAATTATAAAATGCAAATATTACTGTCTTTACTCCATAACAAGTAATTAGTCTGATATGGATAACTAAACATAACTTTTTCACATAAATACGAAGTATAAGTAGAAGATATTTTAAAGGAATTTAAACATTTGAAATAAATACTGTCGTAGGTGTTCTCATATGCAGAGTACTCTTATATAAATTGATACTGCAGATGAGTTTTAAAGTGGCGCCACACACTTAGTACTTGATTAATATTGTATGATGAAATGCTTTGCTTGCAAAGAATTTTGTGTCTTATTTCAAAAATGACGAGACTATAAGCCAAATGCAGTCTACATTTCAATGCAACAGCAAAACAATTTGTTGCCTTAATATGCAAATCGTAATTTTGAATCGTATCCAAGTTTGTCAAGGTTTGGATTACAAGCAAAATTGATCATTGGAGGTGGACCACACATAAGTACAAGGGTATCAGACGATGGGGGAAACATGTGCTTCTCTATCATTTCTGCATTTATATGCCCTGTACTGTAAGCCCAATTTTCGCTACTAGTGTCCAATGTATACCAGAGTTTTAATTTGTTGGGATGATTCTTTGCAATATCATCTAACTCATTTCGTAGCAATATATCTTTCTCTGTTTGATTGGCAAAAAGTAGAGAACACTGAGTTTCATCTGTGGAATCTTTTACTATAGCACGAATCAACTGCAACATTGGAGTGACTCCTGTACCACCAGCTAACATCACAACCTGTAACAAGAAAGACTCATATTTATTCCTTGGATTTTATAAACATAAAATATACTTGTGAATTTATAAATTTCATTACCTTCTTGACATTGTATTCTGCTGGTGGGTCTTTCCTTAGAATCTTTATAGAGAACTTTCCACGGCCTTTGTAAACAAGTCTACCAGATGGTCCCCTAAAATCTACTGTTTCTCCAATGTTCAGATTTTCCAAATGCTGAGACAGTTTTCCACCTTCAGGGAATTTTGGGTGTACATTTTTGAAATACACCTTTAAACAAATTTCAGATGTCAACTTTCAGTTATACCACGTAAGCATATTATTATCTGTGTACTTACTTTAATCACAAGATCTACGTAACCATGATCATCATCACTTGAAACTGGTGTATAAGAACGTATAACAACTTCTCCATTAATCTTTGCTGTTAAATGTACATGTTGACCTATGGGTAATCCTAGGACATGCTCTGGTGTGGGTAAGCCAAATCTGAACTTCCTTGTGTCATGGCTTATTATCTCCTTATCAACTAATGGCAAGCTGTATTTAACAACTGGGTCAACCAGTAAAATAGGAGATTTCTTTTTCTTGTCATCACTCCAACATTTGTAAAATTTCACTGCTAGTCCTAATACAGCTATAGTCCCAACAGCAGCCAATACGGGTAACACCTAAGAAAAGCCAGAAACATTATAACTTTACTAAATTTGACCCAATTACTAAAAATCCTACAATAGAAATGTTCACTATTTTATCATCTATTACCAGGTCAGTTATATGATTGTTAGATGAACTCTTGACCTAAGATACATAGTTGTAATTATTACAAAATACCCATAGGAACTTCCTAAATAAACTTGTAAGTCCTCAATTATTCGAAATTCTAAGTTCTATAAATTAATTTAGCGAGACGTGTCAGCTAATAAATACGGCTGCAAATTCTTTCATAACTCGACCACCATATCTGAACACGCAAAGAAGCCAGCGAAATTACCGTGTAATGTGAAATAATGATACGTACGCCCGTGAAGATAATTTCACACAGAGGGTACTCATCAACATTCTACAAGTATCAGACTCGTCAATTAATTCTTTGGAATTAATCAATAACATTTTAAAGCTGTTCTTTTTGTCTAAATGGACTTACCAGTGACCGTAGGTTTGGCATCGTCAATCAAAATCGCACGTGTCTAAGACCGCTGCGAAAGAATGTTGAGAACGAGGCTAAGGTCGTAACTGTGCGTTGGAGTAGTGGGGATGAATAAAAAAAGAAATATTTAGTAGGAAGAACGAACACCAATTCCACACGTGCACGGAATTTATTGAATCTGTGGTTCCTTATCGGCTTCCAAGGAATTTTTACGCGCACGCCTCAAGAAGTCACCGGCTTCTACACGGGGTCGCACAGAAGGCGCTACCCTTTAAAATAGATCTTACTTCCCTCGATCCAAGAACAGTACTGTTCCAATGTATTTATAGCTATATTACCGGTAGTATTACATACGCGGGATAAATGTATTCATACCTACGTTAGAACGCAACAATGGAATCATAAGCGATACTTTTGTGATTGGTGGATAAGGCATGACAAAAGAACGACACATACCGGCATTACTTTGGTCATTCTTTATTTTAATCACCGGGAAAGACAGCCCATAATTATCCTATCGACTATAGCTTCAATTAATTGTTTGTTTCTCCTACCATTTATATAAGAAATATGAATATATAAATTATGTAAGAATTTACGTTGAGTACTAGACCAGCCTTTAAATTCTTGTTTCTATTAAATAGAAATTGTACTTTCACTACAATCTGTTGGGCACTATAGCCACAATCATTTTATGTAATAAATAATGTTAGGTTGAGTTTTGTCATCCATGTGGATTTTTACATTCAAAAAAGATTCGGTCATAACAAATATCAACAAATTTGATAAAACAATTAGCGGAAAGTCGAAGATTTGCATGCTACTTTTACATTATTTATAAGAGTACGTATGTATTAGACCGCGTAAAGTGGTACGGTATAAATCAGCATGAATTTATACTGGCTCTTAGGTTTTCTCTTTGTTAGCTAAATTATTTATTGTTTTTATGTTTAACACAAGTATGGATTTTCCAGACATCTGTATAGCTGATTTTCACGACTTAAATTAATGATAGAGTGTATTGTATAATGGCCTCATCTGTGTGGAATAATATTTTGTATATTTAAATAAGTAAAGATATACATATAAAAAATTAAATGGAAGAACTGATTCTTGATTATAAAATATATACGTACATACGAATGCTTAAACGTTGTATTATCCATCGATTCAGACATAATAGACACTTATTATATTTACACGGTTATTTGCACAAAAATTCTAAACGTATAACACTTGATAACCACCTGTTATCCCACTTAATTCAACATTGCCTCTATTTCTTCTGGTTACAATGTTTAATGTTGGAAGGTTTACGTGAATTGTCACAAAAAAATTTGAAGGCTACTTATAGGTAAGTATATACATACGTTCAAACGTCTTCAAATCGGATACTCGACTGCTGGACGATCCAAGCTCGCGACTTTGGTATTTTTCTATCGGGTGTTGAAATAATCAAGAGACAAGGTCATTTTGATAACATGCAGTCATTTCACGATCGTATCAGCAAATAGCTAATACCATAATGAACATAAATACATATACATTATAATGTTTATCTCGTGAAATGAAAAATGATCATAAACAATTTCACGTTGCTTTACATATATAGATTTGACAATATTTTAAAAACTGATAACTTGTAATCACTTTGGACAGAACAGTCTAAGGGTCATTTCGACTAATTTTAATCAACGATGTGTACTTAAAAGATTGTAGTTCAGCATTAAGTTCAGATTTAGTTCAGCATTAGTACAGCAAAAGATTTTATTTTACCTGATACTAGGTAGATGGAATCTTTTAATGGAATTAAGAATTTGAATATTCTGAAAAGATCGAACTAAGAATCTCGAATCAAATTAAAAATTTATTAAAGCAAGGGTAGCAAGACTAATTTTAATTAATAGCCATGTCAATATATTTTTAAAAAACGTTATATTTTGTGCATAGTACTATGTATATAAATATTTTATAAAATTCATAGATCAACAATACAGTTCTCTGCAGTTCTCTTTCACACTAGCGACATCTTAAAAATTGCTATCATTTGCACTTAGGTTAGCCGATGGTAGAGGTTAAGTATATCAGGTGTTGATGTAAACAGATCAGCGAAATTGCATTATGATTGTATAGTTTTGCGATCACGTTGTGCCTCGTGATTTTCGACGTACTTAATTTTACATTTCAATGGCAGTTGTGCATCGTGCGTTACTTACATGGTTCAATCTTTTAATTTTCCTGATTTTACTCAATTTGAAACTTGAACAGAGAATACAATGGAACTGGTTTATAGTTTTCATTCCGATGTGGTTGTACGACCTCATTCTTATCGTTTTTGTAGTTTTTAATATGATTTCACATTGTAAAAATGGGCGTGTTGTTAATTTACGCCGGGAAGTAAGTTATATATCAAGGAACAAAAAAAAGTGATACAAATTTCATTTTTACCGTATGTATATCCAGTTTCATCAAGAAGTATGTTATTTTTAAAGTCTACTTCCTTTTGTATAAACTATAACTTCCCTGCTCGATTATTTTGCAAATTCGATTGTTATCTGATCAAACTTTTAATAAATTGTTAAGTTCAATGTACTGTGTATTATTTCCCTTAACACATAAACAAATGTTAAATATTATATTAATTACATTATTTTATATGCTGATGGAAAAATATTTAAAGCACAAATGATAATTTTGAAATATTCACATAGAAAGTAAAGATATTAATTTTTTGTAATTAATGTAGTCTATAAAATTTGTTGTATAAGATTAACATTTAACATAATAAATAATTTTGATGGAACTGGGTATCAATTGCATTTTATAAAAATTAAAAACAGTATCCTTTCAGGTGTGGTATATGACAGCTGTATTTATGAAATTAAGTGCCCAAATTATGATATGCTTGAAATTGGAAGCACCTCATTGGTTCCTACCAGCAACAGTTGTTCTGACACCATTTTGGATTCTTCTATCAGTATTATCAGTTGATGTTTTTATTCATCTGATACAGCAATACCAGTTTTGATCAGACTCTAATCACAGTTGATTCAGATAATTGAACAACTGCAGCATTTATCATATTCTATATAAATTTAATTTTATACAAACATTAGTTGTGTAAGTTGCATCTACAATATAAGTTTTGTACCAATATATTTTGTTACTGCTAATTTATATTGTCTACATATTTAAGAAATATCTTAGATTAATTATTTTGCTTAGAAAAAAAGTTTAAGACTGTTTGATAATTTAGGAAAAAAAAATACTTAAGAATAAAGCAATAATATATTGTTACACATTGTAACTTACATATGCATACTGTATAGCGATAAAAGAACTAACTGTATGGAAATATGATCTTAGCATTAAGTTTTACCTTACATATCAGTGTTTTTTTTTTTTGTAGTTAAATATAAGTATATATAGTGTAATTTCAGATGGTATGGTAGTCACAAGATGCCAGTCTGGCTTACTATAAATACACTATTGCACAAGGATGAATAGGACAAAGATATAAATAAGTAACTCTACCACAGCTTCATTATACAAAGCTTTTCTCATTAGTTCATAAGACTGTCTCCATTCACAAGCAGTGATTTCTATGCTTAACATTAATTTGTACAAGTGCATTTAGGTATTACAATATAAAAACAGTGAGAAACCATACACAGTTATCTTCATAGTTATGCAACATGTTTCATTGACAAGTGACTTCTGCCTGCATTCTGCATAGAGTAATTGTCTAGCAACCAGCTGTCACATTTACAACCAGTTCTATGATACTAAAATTTTTACCTTAAAGGTGATCAATGCAATTAGAATGTAATTGTTGTCAAACAGAACAAGATGTGTTAACAGCATAACACATTTTCTCAGCACAGTTAGTGGTAGAAGGAGTTTAGTCGTGTAACTCTATAATACTATTATTTCTGTTTTCAAGATGATTTTAAGTTTGTTTAAGTAAATATTTGTGTGGATGTATAAATAGCAAATGTACGAAGTGTGTGCAGTTAAAATAATTTAAATATCAATTTGTAATTAGTGATATGTGTTTGTACATTGTGTTTGGATGAGTGTATATAAGTAACATGGAACAGGTAGAACAGTAAAAAACTATGAAATAATACTTCAATCAATGTCTACTAATTTTTGTTACGACTTGTAAGGCTTGTTTGCTGTTTAGTCAATCGTTTTTCAATTGGTTTGATTTTACTTTACAGATGAGTATAACATCTTTTCCATTGTTTTGTTTATCACTATTATTACTACAAAATGGATTTGTCAGTGGCACAATTACAGTAACAGAAGTTCCAGCTGGTCATTTAGCTGAACTTCCATGTTTAAGTAGTGATGATCATCATCGTTTTATGTTTTGGCAACTCACTGATGACAGACGTATTATTGGACCTGGAAATTCTATGGATGAAAATAAGTACAATTATGAAGTATTAACTGGAAAGCTTTTCATAAGGGTAAGTAAAAATTCCAATTACAAAGAAATTTCTATAAGTGTCACATATTCTTTGTTTTAGCAAGTTATGTTATTTCTTCACAGGGTGTGTCAACAGCTGAATCTGGCTTTTATAAATGTATTTCAAAAGGTATATCTGACCACTCTGCTATCAATATTCATGTTGTGGAATTAATCGTTAAAAAAGATTGGGAAGATGTTTGGGAAAATGATTTTGAGGTATACTAAAAGACTTTAAAACTTATAAGAAGGTATATAGTTACTACTTTAAATGTGTGTTTTTTTTAGACAAATCTGTTACGAGGAATGGCTGCTGTTATGGTAATAGTTGTTGGTATAGCAATCGCTCTTTTTATTATTACGGCAAAAAGAAAGCGAAGTCGCAGATTTTTTGGTATATCTTAAATATTTGACATAACGACAAAGTGAATTAAATCACGTTGATACGTTTAATCAATAGTAAATTATTATTATAGATTTGGAAGAATCGAGAGAGAATTCTCCTGCAAAATATACACCTAACACTAGTGCTCGCCCTACTGCACCAATACCAATACCTGAAGAAGGTGGTATTGACAATTCAGCTCTTGATATCGATTTTCCAAGAGTATTTAAGCAAATGCAGAAATAAAGAACATTGTGATATATTGTACAAATCAATTTTTTTTTTATAGATTATAAAATGTCGTATAGATTTATTAAAGTTTTAATTGTGCCATTAAGACGAGAAAGACATTCACATCTTCATAAGATAATTCTAACTAATACTTTCTAGATTCAAATTCGTAATTCACTATTGTACATATTACTGTATATTTATATATATAAATATACATATAAATAATTAATATGTTTAATCAGATGTTTTATTTTAACAAGTATAAAACAGTAACACTTATTTTCATTTTTATATTCCCGTTAAATATTTGTGTTAATATATGTTTGTAGTAGACATACCTTAAATAGTTTTATGCATGTAGATTCAATGAGACATACTTGCAGTTGCTTCGTGTGCAGCAACTAACATACTATCGTTACCTCCATCGTCTTCGTCTTCTTCATCATCTTCTTCTTCGGGTTCCACTTCAGTTTCTAGCAACCTTATTTTTCTATTACTTTCGCTTAAAACGGCAGCTACTTTTCGGGCACCGCTAACTGCCAGTCGCCTAGCAGAGATACCATGAAACGATCGTGGCCAATTGTTGCCCATGAGTTCGGTTAAGCTAATTGAATTCTTGTTTTGATTCTCGAAAATTCGGGTATGGTTTAGTGGTAATTGTATGAGATATGATGCTTGGCTATGCTTGTTAAGCAGTAATACACTCAGATACTCTTGAGTGTAAAACTGTAGATCAACTACAGTACCGTCTATATAGCTTTTAGAATACGATTCTGCAAAAAAATATTGCACCACGGTTAGTTTTAAATTTAAATCATCGTATACATGTTTATAAATGAACAAACCTGATCTGTGATCTACATCTATTGTACCCAATCTAAAGCTAAGCGAAACAGGCTCTGTTTGCGAAGATTCCACCTTGAACAGTCGTAATATTTTGTGATCAACGTCACATGTAGCGACTATCAAGCCATCGTTACTTGTTGCAATTTGAGAAGATGTAAATGCTACAGACGGTGCCAATGGAATACTCGATACAGTAAAATGATCGACCAAGCCTTGATAAGCTTTAGCAAAAACAGTGTGTACGGCGGTAATTAATTTTGCATGGGATTGCAATAATGAAAAATTGAGATCTTGTTTCACGATAAATGGATGATCGCGAAGGCAATGATTTTCATCAAGCATTGCCGCCCATTCGCTTCCTTCGGGGGTTAGGCAAGTCTGTAAATTTTCACGACGCAGATACTGGCCTAATTTTTCTAAATTCACTCCCTTTCTGCCTCCAATACCTGGCTCAGTTTTATCAAAGCCACGTAAAAATTCGGCTATAAATGTTAACTCCTGTTGACTGACTCGACTTACTTCAGACGGTATTCTCTCGTCTGTTAATTTTAGAATTACTACATATAACCACCTTAAATTAAAATATTCGATCATTAAGGACATCATTAAGAGCACTTTTAATTATCGCAACTTACCTGAAAAATGCTTTGTAATCCCGCATACTGTGATCTATTACTTGTTGAATCTCCGAAGACTTAGCTAGAAATGCTTCTGATGCATGAAGAGCATTAGTTATAACACCTTCATCTGTTAGTCCCAACAACTCATAAGGACCACCCAGTCTCACCATACCTCTCATTTCAGCCAACTGATACACTAATGCCATTCCAACACTGGTCAAATTTTTTAAAACTAATTTCTGTAACATGATTTTTTGTGATGCAGTGGTTTTCAAAAAATAAAAATTATACACTGTACCTGTATATTACTGTAGCACATTTCAATACTGTGTCCCAATTTTTTCAAACCCTTCTCAGTCAAATCTTGCAACAAAAAGTTTTCCAAGTTTTGTGTTGGTATACCGATCATTAACAACTCCAAAAAATCAGCAGCAACTCCACCAGGTGGATTTGTATCTGCATAGCGTGCAAGCTTTTCATCCATTTCCAAGAGAATTGTTTCCCATGCTTCGGAAATGGCCATTAATGTGCGTGAAAGGTAATCCATCAAATATTCTATATTAGCTTGAGCTTGTGCTACCTCAGATTGAAATAAAAAGTTTGTAGAAATTTAATCACTTTTCATGGTACAATAATAAGCTGTATTATGCAAGGAACCTTTAAGAATGCTGTGTTTTGTTTCAGTAGTGGACACCACATTCTATTCACTTTAATGCCACTATTGTCTTTCCATGTAATCCACATTGGCTTGTTGGATCCACCACTGATTTCTAATATTCGACCACGGCCTACTGATATTGTGCCACAATAGAACATTCCAAACACATACATTGCAACATTCCCATCATCTAAACCAAGCTGGCAAACATATAATCAATTATAGTAACCAATGTGCTATTGAGTTCTGAGATCAATGCAACTTTAAATATACTTACAAAAAGTATATCTAAGGTTTGAAATAAGAATTCCTTTCGTTCAGGTTCTTGACCAAAACTTCTATTTAAACTAGGTAAAGGTGGAAGATATTCTCCGGTTGGTAACATATTCGTTTTGTTCCCACTCAAGGAACCACCACTCTCCGGATTTGTCAATGGCAACCATGTAATGCACGTAATTGCATTGTGAAAGTTAAGTTTTGTTTTATGTATAATATTTTTATTCTCAATGTCTACAAGACACACCAATTTAGAGCTTTCATAACAAACAGCTAACAGTTTTCCATCTGGTCTCCATGCTAAATTCACTATAGTATCAGATTCTTCCTGAGGACTTAACAGCCATACTCTTTGCCAAGTTAATCTATGAAGAGTAACTTCACCTGTAATAAATATAATCTGTTAATTACATGTATTAGAAAACTACCAAATTTGATCTAGAATAAAATGTGGATTTATACAAATCTGTATAGTGTATTTATAAGTGTTTGTAAAACATAAGGGCGACCTTGTCAGGCTTCAAAAAACTTCGAAATAATTTAAAAAAAACTTTGTCTATTGTATAACGGTTTTAAAATCTAACCTTTCACATTGGCAATTGCTAGAAGATCCATTTTCGGCGACCATTGCATTTTTGTTACTTCGGCTGGAAGTTGCCGTTCCTCTAATTGTCTCATACTCCCAGCCATTTTTAGGATGGCTTATTAAACTTTACCTCAAAAAAACATTTCATATAACCACTGACAATAAAGGTTATGTTTCTCGGCTGCCTCTTGTTTCTTCCGCATGCATACGCATATAAATACGCACTATATGTATACATACGTCACTACACGTTCTACACTTTTAACGTCTGCGTCGAAATTACGCAGGAACCATTTCAAAACGTATGCACGTGTATTAGGTTTACCGACATTTCCTAAAAATTCAGCCTTTGACAGTTTAAAAATCTGCCGTATCAATAATATTCGAAATAAAAGAAGTATAAAACTGAAGGACGCAAAAGTATCAGCATTCACTGAATACTTTTTGAAAATTTTGTTATATATGTACATACTTGTTCCTTATTCACTGTTTTGTACATATTTTTACAGAATGCTTAATTTTCAATTACTTTTCGAGATCGAAAAATTTACAAAATGCAGAGGGAATGTGACGTTTAAATAAATTGTCTAAACGGTGCCAAAAGCAATTCAGCAAATGTCGAAGGTGGAGACGTAAAATTAAAAATAAACCCCGTTACTAACTTTTTAGTGAGCGCGAGGTGTATCGAAACTTATGGTAAAACATTTGTTTTACATTGTTTCTTTTTTTTAATGGCATTATTTATATTTAGATTATTGTTTTTTCTATACATAAATCTTGTTACAATAAAAGATCAAACTTGCATATATTTCATGGACTGAAGTAATTGCTCAACTCGTTTAGAAGAGGATGTTTTCCTCGACATTTGGTAAAAGAACGTAAGAATAACAGAAGCCAGAGAAAGTTTTGTGCATGTCTGCAAGAATCAGGGACGATCGGTATCTGCAAAGGAGGAAAACAAAAACTTCCGGTTTAGGATATTTTCAGAGTACACTTTGTACATTGCCTGTGGCACGAGAACCTCAAGTTTTAATTACAAAACAACATTTTACATGTTTCCTGTATCAAATACTCCACACTTTCTTTTTAAGGTCTATCACAAAGGAATTAGTACAAAGTTCACCATATCTACATATAGAGACTTATCTTAAATCTATTCAATAGTTCGAAGGTAGCGATTGTTTCTCGCTCAATTCTTATCGAACGATTCTAAAGATACTTAGGTTTTCGTACCTTTGATTTGAAAAGTGTGACTTCTAACAAACGAACTTTGTTCATTAAAATATGGGTAAATAAATGTACTTTGGACTATTTCTATATAATGTTGATACAATTGAAAAGAATAGAGACCTTCTGATCAAACTACTCATAAAAGGTTCGAATCCACTCGGCCATGTTTCGAGAATACTTTATTCGAACCTCATTCGTCTGAATTCATGTCTACTTAAAACTCTTCCTTTCCTTTGTCGAAATAATTATGAAACGTTCGAAACTATCCAGTTAGATTCGAACCCTACGTCTAATACACTTCATCTCTAACCGTACGTCGAAGATCGGCGGCGTAAGCGTTAAAACTGGTTCACCCTAAAACCTCAATAGTCGTCTGATGCCTCTCGCGTCCCCCACGTGGTTCTCAATCGGTCGCGGCTCGAGTAGACTATTCGAGGGCCTCTACGTGTTCTCCAGGCCCCGAAGGTTCGGCGAGGTCGGAGGTAAGTCTATTGTCGATCCATAATCGATATCGAGGCCGCGGGTGGAAACGGTCGACGGTGGGCCGTGGCGAGAAACGTGGCTAGAAGGAGAAGTCGAAGGTTGGGTGTATACCCACCGTGCCGTAGAGACGTAAGCGCGGTGTGCAGGAGGGCCTCGAGGAACGCCACTGGGCACGTGACCCGGCCAAGCAGAATCCGCGGCGTCCGCCGAAAATCTAAATCCGTCCGAGCCGAGAAGAAGAGGCACCCGATCGTCGACGTCGGCCACCGGGGGGGACTCCGCCGCCTGTGAGACCGCAATACGCCCGATAGTCAATAATCGCCTTTAGGGTGCGTCGGATCGGTTCAGGCGGGAAAGACGGAAAAGCGGCGTTTTACACGGTGGTGAACGGCAGCGTGCAAACGACACCCCGGAACCCCGTCGTTGTCGTGTCGGTCGTAAACGGTATAAACTCGTCCCCACGAGGTGCAGGGTGCGCAACCATATACAGGGAAGGATGATACGCGTGGACGAGACTGACCCGGTGGGCGGTAAGGGACTTGAGGTTATCTACACAGACGCAAACATGCACATACACTTGGAACATGGTGGAATTGCTGGCTACGTATATCGTTGTGGGGATACGTATGGTAGACCGTGGAAGGGAAATGGGTGGTTCAAGGAGAAAGTTTGCTGCTTTGATTGGATCCTGGAGTACTGTGGAACAGTGTATTTGTAGATTGATGATCGTGAAGGAGAAAAGGATTGTTCGAAGATGCTTGATTCGGTTAATTCTCTCTGATTGGAGGGTTTTATATGGTCTGTGGAATTATGTATTGTATCATGAAGGAGGAAAGGGTTGTTCGACGATGTTTGCTTCGGTTAGTTCACCGTTGATTGGAGAATCTTCTGTGTTTTGTGGAACGATATACTGTAGATGGTACATCGTGATAGAGAAGAACATCGTTTGAAGATGTTTGCTTCGGTTAGTTCCCCTTTGATTGGAGAGTTTTCTGTGTTCTGTGGAACGATGTAGTGTGGTTCATAGATTGTGACAGAGAAAAGGATCGTTTGAAAATGTTTGTTTCGATTAATTCCTTTTTGATTGAAGTCTTCTGTGTTCTGTGGAACGAAATATCGTAGATTCTGGACCGCAAAGGAAGAAACAGTGATCGAAGAAATTTTACTTCCTGTCGATCCTCTCTTCCACCGATTTGATTCTTGTCCGATTGGGTAATGATGTAGTGTAGATCGTTAAAGGGAATCATAGGTTTGGTTTCCGTCTCGAGGGTATAATTCGAAGACAACCGGTTTCACGGTTTTAGTTCTAGATGAAGTAACCGGAGCAGCTGCTGAAGAGCTTGGAGATTTTAGTCCCGAGGCGTGGGGGAAGGGGGGAGGGAGTGCAGTGCTACGATCGTGATTTTTCTTTAAATAAATACGGTTGGTGATTCCCTGGAATTCGGGTCGATGAGAGAAACGTTAAATCGATCGTTGGTATCGACGATACCAACGGGGTTTTCAATTCCATTGTGAACCTCGGTGGTTCCCCTCCGTTGCGTTGTTTCGGTTGGAGGTCGCCGTTCCGCCAGCTGTCCTGTACAAAAGGGTGAAATGAGGTCGCGGCCGGCGCGAAACGACGCGTTTGTCGCGCGACGACGGAGGGATCGCGTGGCGATACCGGAATAATAAGCTTCCGGTTTTGTCGACCAGGAATTTTAAACAGCTTTTTGTCCATTCCGATAACTTATTCAATGTTCAACCCATTAACGATTCATCGTTCAAAAAATTGTTCCACAAGAGATTCGAATAAAACGACCAATAGTTTTTTCATCGTTTTAATCGTCCGTAATTTCGATACAGAAGAAGAAAGAAAGTTGCCAAAAAATGTTCCCAGTACAACACAGGTTTCTTCCGACAGTTCGTTTTGCGCCTCAAAGGCAGGATGTTTAGATATCAAAGCCAAACCGCGCGGAAAAAGACAAAAATCGCTAAATATACACACCGCGAGACAATTCGGTCCCATCCCGTGGCTCTGGCTTCCTGAATGTCAGAAATCGTTGGACCAGTTGGCGAGGTTCCCTCGTAACCCAGGATCATCGAAAAATAGACGATTAACGGGCCTGTTTGATTTCCCTGTTTATAATCGCAGCGCATACCATTCGCGAATGTCGCGATTATAATACATACTTCGCGTCGACATCGCGAGACCGGAAATCACGGTCTTTGTAAAGGGAAACCGAGTCGTGTTTCAGCGGGATCAGCTTTGCCATTTCGATCGACGGAATTCTCTCGTAGAAATGTCGCGGTCCAATTTATTGTCTTGATGGTAAAATAAATATCCTTTTCATGGACCACATCGAGGCTGTTCTTGTAAATTTTTTGTAATATTGATAATAATATTTATTTGTAAACGGGTTATGAACCATTTGGTACTATATAGAACTAGACTCTAGGGGACAAACGAAAAGTTTAGATATAGAATAATGCGTAAACATATTCCAGAGTTTATGAAAATGTATGGTACTATACACAAAGTTCAACAAAATATAACAAAGGTTCTACAGGACTATATACAGTGACTCCTCGATGAATGCGATACGAACAACGACGTTATTCCCACCACTGTGGGAGCTCCCCTCTGGAACCAATCAAAACAGAGTAAACAGAGGCTCTGTTTCCTGCAAAAAACAAATCCACGAGGGGCTGTAAACCTTGACGACTCGAGTTCGTCGCACTCATCGAGACATTACTGTATAATGAACTACAAACATAAACAGCAAAAAACGAAGAACAAAATTTGACAAAAATATTTAGGTAGTATACACAGAAAGTTATGATTCTGTAGAAAGAAATGCGTAATTTTGGGATCTTTCTATGCTTTTCAGAGATCGAGCCGAGCTTTCCCTATCGGGACGTGACCATTCGTCGTGGCGTGGAGTTCAAAGATCATTATAACATTCAGTCTGAGATCGGACGGTGAGTGTTCGAAGTTCGTTTTCTTACTTCCTTCTCCCTCTCTAAAAAAACTCATAGGTTTATCTATAAAGAACTGAAGGTGACCTTGAAAACTTTGGAAAAAAGGGCCGACAAAAAATTTAGTACAATCATCTTAGAGCTTCCCCTGAATCATGTTATACCAGCCAAAAACATTTTCAATCGAATAGCTAGCTGTAGAATAATCTAAGCTGATTTTGTGGTCCACCCTGTATAACGCGCAGAAATTTCCATGTGATGACATTCTGGGAGTGACGTTTTGCGTGAGGCCAAACCCTGGATACGGTTGTTTATGCACCAACTTGTGGGCTCGAACGTTTCGCGAACATCACGGGTGAAACCGCAGAGCGATCCTGGCCCGTTGATGTTTCTGAATTTGACGCGATATGCAATAATATGCATGCTCTGTGGACATTGCGTAACGATTATACAAGCCGTCCCCCGAAACTCCGATACACATACCTTAGACGGCCGGGGATTATTTAAAGACCACTCGATTAACCGTTCCAACATTAATAAATTAGAGTGCGTCTCTTCTGGTTCGGTGGGAATTTCTGTGTCACGATATTATTGGATCGTTGTTTGGTTTACACGGATCGTTGTATTATTTGATTATTATTATATGCAGAGAATGTGGACTACGCTGGGAATTTTATGGATAGGGAATTGAACATTGAAACCGGATGGAGAAATGTCGATGGGAACGATGGAAAATATACAGAGCGATGCATTCGATTTAACAGCTGAAATCTCTACTGTAATTTTCATATTTCGATACTTTCTTTCTGATAGCCGAAATTAATTCAATTTCAATATGTATATTGTTCATGCTAAGTAATACTTCCAATTGTTTTTATTGTCGTATGTAATATCTTGCGTACGACTAAAATAGGTAAAAAGTAACACTGAATTTGGACACGGAATTATAGAAACTGGAAAATTATAAATTTTGGGAATTGAGGTTAATCGAAAGCCGAACACTAGCGAGTTAATGAATTAAGAGGATTATGCTTCTAGTATTGGGGTCGTGAACTATACATTTTGTATATGAAAGAAGGGAAATGTTTCGGACCGTGACGTGTTTATAACTATCCGGGGAACGTAGTATTCTCGTCTTGTATACATCGTAATCTTTCGGTTATACTATGCGTGTCCGCCATTATGAATGAAATTCGGGCATGAATGATCTCGTCGTGGGACAGCTGCCTGTGGTAAATTCACGAGATGAACTGAACTGAAAAACATTCATGAATATTATTTCATGTTTTTCTGAAATATTGGTCAATAATTCATGGAAAGACGAAACATTGTTAGGGGATGATTTACAAAACACACGTTTCAGAAACAATCAATACGTACGTGTTTTTCTTTTATTTTTAATCCGAGAGCGAATGTCAAGACGCATTAGCGATCGCGTATCAGTAACACGAACAAAGGTATTGACGAATGGACCGATGCCAAAGGTAAGATCTGAATGTCAATGACAAACTATTAGTGAACCGATCGATCCTCAATGGTTACCCTTGATCGACAGGCACGGTTTGATTTAACAATCTTCAAGCACTTTCGATTTTTCAATATCGATACATTATTTACACACATATGTTTACGTTCTTTTTGTTCGCTGTTCGGTATACGTACGATAGAAACATTTTTTTTATCAGACTTTCCGAACCGATACGACGGGACCATTATTTTTTACCTTTTAGAAATATTTTAGTTTCAGTTAACCGAACGTAAGTTTATTTTCTCGTCAAAGTCGTGTTTTATAAAAAATCTAGGGGCACTTCTTTCTAATTTTCTCCAAATACTTTACGATGACGCGTTTAAATTATTAAAATACCATTGAAACAAAGACAATTTAGTGTTCGCAATAACTTTTAAGAAAGAGATTACCTAAGCATGTTCTATACATATATTTGATAAAATGCCCATAAATACATAACAGTATAATGTCATAAAGATTCTATTGGCACAACACGTTGACAGGTGGTCTTCGTCTGTAACCGAAAATAACTTAGCAATTAAAACGAAGTAAAAAACAAACAAAGGAACAAACACTGTCTCGACAATGAACAAAAACGCAGATGCCACGTGATCCGTAAGTTTCCAGTAGCAACGGATTCAGTCGATCTCTAGATCGATACGAGGACATCCCGCGCCGCGTGTTTCATCGGTATGCCAACGCTATGCTAATTGCTAGAAGAACACCCGAGTAGGACAATACAAGCACGATGCCAATAGCAAAACGGTCTAGCGTCGTTCAGAATGAGAATTCCTTCGCTCGAGATCTCGCGGAAAGCCAACATTTCATTCATATTCGACGGTTCAAACGTAAAACGCCTCCAGCCATGAATCATCTCGGTTTCTTCTCGTCGGGCTGCGCGTTAAACGGATTTTAACACTTGCATTTTCAAACACCCACCACCAGCGATCCGCCTTTTGAGTCATCGAACGTTCTCCACCCCCTCCCCAGACACGTTCCGAGCGTGGTTCTCTTAAATCATGCATTCCAATTAAATCGCGGCCGATTCCTCACCCCCGATCATATCGAATTGGCGGGGTTCCATCGGCCACCGGATTCCAACGTGAGTCACGCGCGCGCGCGCCGGAAACCGCGAGGAGAGGATCGATCCTTTTACGACGATCGTCGAAATGATTGTCGAACGTTATACTGTTATTATTAGACTGCGAATTTGATGTACTTATTGTCTATAGGATTTCAGGATCAACTTTTGATTAAACATTTTTTACTCCACTCCGTGAGTAGTATAAGCCCCTACAGTCTTAGAATTTTTGTTTAACTACCTGCATATGTTATTAGGTGTAACAATTAGTCATTCACTACCTATAGTTCCAATATACTGGTAATAAAATTACGATTCAGAAAATCTTTCCAATCTTCGGTTCAGCCAAAATTCCAGACGATAATGGGAAGCAATAACGAATTAGGTATCTTTACGTGTCTATAAATAATGCATTTTTCGAAGTGACTGACGTTCGCGAGCCGAGTCGTCGGACGTCGAGCGTCGGGACGCGCTTGACACGTGGTTACGATCGAGCGTCGAGATATACACCTGGATGAGGATCATTTTGTGTCTAGTGATGGGTCTGCGAACAAACAGTTGAAATACGTTCGAATATTTCATCGAGAATTTAAAAATGTGTTGAAAATTTTTTTTTTTTTATACATTTTATGAAATCAAACATAGTCGAATATTTTATGAGATCAAACATGTTTGAACAGTTTGATTACCCATCACTACCGGTGCCCTACGGTTATAAATAAACTGTGGATGTTTATGCAAATTATGAACTTTGGTCTAGTTATACGTGAAACGAGTTTGTTTCGAAGCACTGATCCTAGAAGAGTTTAATTCGGCTATTTGGAAATGATTTTTCGAAGCTGAGAGAATTTCTTTTTGGTGCGTAATTTCAAAAGAAATTAATAGGGCTTCATGGAAAAATATTAAATTCTCCAGATCATAAATCCACTGCTGTATTTTTAATCGGTTTTCCTGTAGTAGTTATTTCGTTAACGCGAGTCAAACCCATTACACGTTGATAAATATCTGTGTTGGCAAGAATGCGATGCGAAATGTTTGTTCTGCTGAATTCGTCGGTGTACAATTCTATTCCGCGTGTAATTCAACGTCGTGCGTGTGAAAAGGCTGAGTCGTGCACGATTTCACTGAAAACGGAGTACGCGCCGTGTGCAGCGTGTTTTTAAAGTAAGGGACATTTTTCAACCGGTTACAGTTTGCTCAAATCTGAATAATGCTAGAAGTGCCGATTTATTTATAAGGACATCACATAATAAAAATCAAGAATGACGCGATGGATTATACTACTTGAACAGCCCATTCCCAGCTGATCCACGGGCTCGATTAAATAACTCAGCGAAACTAATGAACGAAACAAAATATGTTAGTACTATTATTCTTTACCATATCTCATTCCATCGTTTCAACAACAAATATTTTTCTAATTCCTAACTCATAAAATTTGTTCTTTTCTTAATGGTTGTATTACCAAATACTAACAACAATTAAAAATTTATGTTAAAGTTATTTGTGTTCGTAACGTGTCCATAAGTTATTCCGATACATTAGCATGAGATATTAACGATCGACAAAACGAATCTCGAGATACGAAGACTCCATCGATTTGTTTCGCGGAACGTAGCGATGGCGCTACGCGGTTTCTCTGGCAGATGTGCCGTTCTGATAATTCGTTCCGGCGACCCTGTTGTCTACGGTATGCTCTACTAACTCACTGACTCACTGACTTGGCGTCGTGACAGCCTGTGTACAGGTTACACCACCGGAGGTTCTAGCAAGCCAACCGGGAGGCGGTTTTGGCACTTTCCCCCGGAGCTTTTGTCGTTGTAACGTAGACCATTTTTTCTTGTCCATGAAAATTCCACCCATCAAGGTTGAAGATCGGCGTCGCGTCGCTCGTAAACGACCGAAATTTATCGCTCGAGAAAAAGAAAAGACCGAGTGGAATAAGTATCGGAATTTCTTTTTATATTTACCACACGAAATTGTCTCGACGCGATATTTAAAAGATTCTTATTTAGAAATTCTTTTTTTTTTCGAAGATTAATTTTCTTAAAATTATTTGAAAGGTATTTGGAAGACATAGTTAACCGGGCTTCGACGTTAAAGGACGGTATTTTCCATGTTGCGCGCGCACGCTCTTTGGCACAAACGAAACGGAATGAAGTCAGAGTTTGTGCAGCTGCGATCGCGGCTTTTATTGTGTTAATGTTAGATCGAGCTCGCATTTCTGCATTATAGCGATCATTTTTGTGCGTCGCAATTCGAGGCAGATGATTTATGATACGTACTTAGATTTATTTTCTTTCCTTGCAGTATATTGTCTGTATCTTCATTGCTCTGTCTTCCCTACAGTGTTTACATATTTATTTATTTATTCATAATCCTTGTCTTTCGGCTTAAAACGGACCACCTTCCGGCTTAAAACAGAAAGACAAAAGGAAAACAAACTATTATCTTTCTACGCATTTTTTTATCACTCTCTTACTTTCCTACCCTCAATCCCTTCTTTTATTCTCTTTTTTTCCCTCTTTTGCTCTCATTTCCTACCTCTTCTTCTATCTTTCTACTCCTTACCCAGTACAGTAAATCATCGATGAGTGTTCGAGGGATCCTCGGCACTGACAAAGAGAGATTCCCAGCTGTAACACTGACTTTTTAACAAGATTTACGAAATATTCAATGTTCAGTACTGAGGAGCCTTCGAACACTCATCAATGATTTACTGTACTGTTTCCGATTCTTCTTCACACCTCGTTCTTTCTGTGCATTTCCTATATTCATGGACATCACAAACAAAATGTTCACAGAGAAAAATCTTCGAATTCCACCCTACTTGTATGATAATATAAATTGTATCCCAAGGTTATGTCCTCCTGAGTATTAGAACTTCCCCGAAGATTTATACGCTCAACTAAAAATCCGTCTTCCCTCAAAGTAAGCGTCACACACAGAATGAGCCAAGTTTCTTAGTTACTAACAATCTCTGCCTAACTGCATCATCCAAAGTCTTCAATCAAACGTGTTCCCCGTTAACGTCACCGCACGCCGCCATCACGACGGTAAAAGTCCAACTAAAACGTGAAATATTACCACCTCCTCTACATAGATCGTCTTGTCTCGATAATTTCAACACTGTACCCTGCAAAGAAAAACATTGTAGCTTGTAACAATACCAACTTTAGATCAAAAAGCTAAACGATTCGACTTCCGTGTACCATGAAACAGGCCATTGTTGAACTTAATTATTCAACAGGTTAGTGAAACACACAGTAGAAAATGATCAACGATCGTTCTGCCCCCCCACCCCCATTTAATATACGTGAATCGAACAAGTGAATGAAACAAGGATCGTTACTGTATTTTCAGAGGGAAATTTGGCACCGTTTATCGATGCAAGGAGAAAGCAGGTGGGCTGATGCTCGCCGTGAAGGTGGTGAACACCGTGAAAAAGGAGGACAGACGAGCAGTAGAGCGGGAGGTTGAAATTATGAGACGACTCCAACACCCCCGACTTATTCAGCTGTACGACGCCATCGACACGGGCAAACAGATCTACGTGATCTTGGAACTGTAAGCTCTTAACATTCGTGGCTCTAGTCTACCTAGCCTATCGACAGCAAGGGAATTCACACATGAGCGTAGCCAGGGGCGGGCAGGACTGAGAAAAGTGGCTTTTGCCTCACCCTACAAGAAAAAAATTGGATTTTGCCTCCCCCCCCTTCCTAGAGTTACAAAATTTTTCTATAATATTTAATATTGCAGTATAATTTACAACACGACTAACAGCCTCTATTAACAAAATGCAAACATTTTCAACGATTTATGACTTTAAACAGAAAATAAAGTGTGTCTGGCTACGTACGGCCTTTTTCACTGTGGCAGTCATGTGTCAACACTAGAACTACAAGGCAAGACAAAATGACTTGTCAATATACTCTTACAACGACGATTAAAATGTTATGACAATACATTTTCTCAGATCTTTTGCACCTTTTATTATGATATGAAAATGAAGAAATTGGTCAATTTTTAAATCTCTAAATTTTCAAAAGTTTTTCACGTTTATCCACCGATCGAAGCAAATATGCGTTTATTGTCGGTAGTTCTAGTGTTAATATTTTTGCCCCCCCCCCTCCCTGACTGATAACCTGGCTACGCCCATGAATTCAGACGAATTTTATTCTCGTGTTCCAAGGATCGAGGGTGGCGAACTATTCGAGAGGGTGATAGACGAGGACTTCGTGTTGACCGAGCGGAGTTGCGCTGTCTTCATGCGACAGATCTGCGAGGGGATCGAGTTCATTCATCGACAAAACATTCTGCATCTCGACTTAAAGGTGAGACTACAGAAAGAATCTATTAAACAACAGTAAAGTTTTTAAGTAGTTAATAGAGTAATATCTATATTAACTCTTTTCTATCCACTGTTACCATATCGTCGATTTAATTCGTAATTGTTCTATCTTCACTAGTTTTTGGTGGATATAAGATGTAGCGAACTCGTAAGAGTTTGAACTTCTCCTAGAAAGAGGTAAAACCCTAATTTTTAATATTATCCCCAACTCTTGGGTAGCTTTTCGTAGGGCTTTAATATTAAATAACTCGTAAACTATTGACCATCTACCCCCAAAACTCACAATTATTAACTTCAGTATTTCAAGCTTTATCGTTGTGGAAAGGCTCATTAAAATGTTAACGTTACACCCAGGAAGTTTCTCTTGTTAGTCGTGGATCCCAAAGTGTCTAATTTTGCGAGTTTGTCACTTCTTGATCATCAATCATATACAGTGAGTTATATATTTTATCACATACTTCCAAAGTAAAGATTAATGTAAAAATTTATATACAAAATTTTACGTGTCTTCATTATTTTTACTTTTATCATATTTTAGTGACAAATTTTTCTCAGTTTTGGCATGAAATTCACAATTTAGGACGTATTTTTGTCAAATAAAGGTAACAGCGTTTCTTTGGATTATTCACTAATGCTTCGGAAGCATTTTGTTTGTTAATTGACTCGTATTTCAACAGTTAGTAACTAGAGACATTCCTACTAACGTCCTACTTCTGACTTGTTTGGCTGTATCCCCCCCAAAGAGACCGTCTCTTTTCGACAGAGCTTTAATCAGCACTTCCTCTCTATAGTATACTATATCAATTAAATGTACGGTTATAAGATCACAGTAATTGATCGTGAAATTGTAGTGAGCCAGATCAAGTTACAAGCTGCCAACAGTCCATAGGATTAACATATTGTTTTTGGCAACGCTAGATTCTTGCACGGTGTCCAAAATCTGATAACGAATTGAGGATGAAAGATCGGTGGTTTCAGGTAGATCACCACTGGTAATTGTTAGGTTTACCAAACAATTAATTATATTTGGGGAAGAAATGCACACGTTTCTCTTTCTCTAGTACAAAATTGAAACTGAATGAAAAAAAATTTCTGCTCGCAGCCCGAGAATATTTTGTGCCTGACGAAGGAGGGGAACAGGATTAAAATCATAGACTTCGGCCTCGCGAGGGAGTACGATCCGAAGAAGAAGCTACAGGTTCTATTTGGCACGCCAGAGTTCGTTGCACCGGAAGTCGTAAATTTCGATCAGATTGGTTTCGGTACCGACATGTGGAGTATAGGCGTAATCTGTTACGTACTGTAAGTTTACCTTCAACTTCGACCGGATTTATTTAAAAACATTCCACTTACTGCAATTGGTCTATTTTACTCCGAGGAATTTCTATGCTACACTACATTCACTATTTTTTCATTTATACTAACTATTTACGAATGAAGAAGAATATCTGGATTCTTTATATTTTCTGCAATAAAACACTGACATTTACATTAATTTATATATTATTACTAGATCGTGGATTTTATAGATTTACAGCCTCTATATGACTCAGTCAAATAGAATAGAAGTCAAAATTTTCACTAGATAGGGTAGACGTCCCCATTACTGCCACCTTAACGATTGTAGCATAACTTTATACAATAATTTTACTTGTTGTTTAACCTAAAAATCGTCTCAATAAATATTTCAATTTATATATTTTTACAGTCTATCCGGTCTGTCCCCGTTCATGGGCGACACGGACATCGAGACCATGGCGAACGTGACCATCGCTAAATATGACTTCGATCACGATGCGTTCGCCAATATATCGGAGGACGCGAAGGACTTCATACGGTGTCTGCTGATCAAAGACAAAGAGTACGTATTATTTTACATATATAGATCGCTTGTTATTCTCGACCGTGATCACGCGACAGAAAGGTGACTCGCGCAAAAATATCCGCGTGTATATACGTCACTAACGATGACACCGTTCGACAGATGTCGAACGATGGACATTGACGGCTTCTGCGCAAGATTAACGATATAACAGACCAGATAACGGAATAACGGCGTAGCCGGTGTTCACTGCCAAGAAACTACTACGAAACCATCGTAGAGTATCCTGATAATTTCCTTCTAGTTTTAAATTTCGAATCGATTGACTTATTTCATCTTCGAAGTAGTGATGGCGATACATTTGAATTGTATCGACGTTTGGTATCGATACGTATTGATACTCAGAGTATCGATACACACATGTATATCGGGAATAAAATATCGATATTATCGGTATCGATACTTGCAATTAAATTAGAAGTAGTAACATCGAAAAAACGAAAATTAATAATGTATTTAAGCAGGTAACAGTGTGGAAAAGAAATCGACTAATCGCAAATTTTATCGAAAGCTCGCGATTGGTCCATTTTCCTACGTATAAATTCAATATATAAGTCCTGGACTGTTATCTGGGCAGTTATATTTACATTTGCAAAGTACACGCGGTTATTCTTCGACTTTCTCTCTCTCCCTTTGTGTCTGATTAATCCCCAAGCATGCTTTCTTCATCATCGACATTTTGTTTCTCATTCGAGACGAACATTGCTTCCAACAATGAATAAAATAAGATGAAGTTAAAAAAAAAAAGAATCATATCCGCCCAATCGGTTTCATCGTCGGAACCTTTCAAAGATCCGAGTGCCAAGCTACGAATTACGATTTACCGTGAAAGTTTCACCCATCGGAATATCTCGGAGTCTTTATAATTCAAAAGTGAGAAAACGTTAATTGCCGTGCGTAACGTTTGACGACCTGCTGCCTCGAATTAAAAAAGAAAAGAAAAAAAAAATGAAAGAAATCATCTCGGAGAGACGAGTAAATTTTCCGAAGGGAACAGACAAATCAACATCGTGTATAAAGTCCGTGAAAATTCAACCCCGTGGACCGTACACATTGCATCGTCATCGTACGCATCCTGCACGTTTTATTTCCACCTCACAATCCGCAACACCATTCGCTCCCACCCCCAAATAGTTGGAAAAGAAAAGACACGCACAAAACACATGTATACATGCACACCTCAGTGTCACGAGGGAGAGAGAGAAAGGAAGAAAGAAGCGAAAGAAAGGGAACAATACGTTTCGGGGGTGGTGGCTCACGAGGAAGCATATCGAATCTTTCAGAAAACGGATGTCTGCCGTCCAGTGCAGGGAGCACCGTTGGTTGGCCAGAAAGCCGAGCAAGCAGATCGAACAAACACCACCATTGGCCATCCCCATTGTAGACAGGTCCAAACAAACCACCCAGATCTTTAGAGTGCCAGAGACGAAGCTAGAGGAGTTGGATGTGGCCAAGGACAACCTGAAGCTGTTCGTCGAACGCTGGAGGGAGCATCCGGACAGCCCGTACATGATCGAACTACCTACTTGCAGCCTGTCTCAGCTGAACTCAATCCACGATCGCGAGGAACTGGTGTCCTTAATGGGTCACAGTCCGTCTCCATGCGCGAGCATTTGCAGCACATCATCAGAAACAGCGGAGAGCCCCAGTCAAGACCACCAGGGATACCTGGTGGTGCCGAATTTCGGTTTCGAGAGGAGAGCCTCGGAAGGTGTGTCCACGGAAAAGTCCAGAAGCGACGCAGCCAGCCAGATCGTGCTAGCTGACGAGATAATCAGACTGTCCGAGCATCTGAGGTCCATAGCAATGGGCACCTGTCTGAAGAGCAACGAGGATCCTCAGGAGAACAAAACGACCGAGAAGTTAGAGGACAGGGGGAAGAGCAACCGTATTGGGGTTCATACAAAAAGCAACGGGATGGTCACGTCGGATGGCGCAGAGTGCAACGAGATCGCCGAGAAACTGTCTAGTATAATGAGACACAGAAAACTGAACGGCACTACTTTCCATAGTACCCGTAGCTTCGAGAGGTACAACGAGTCGAATACTGGGAATATATTCGCGTCGTTGAAGAAGACCAAGTTGAACGGGGATGGAAAGAGTTTGGAGGTGAAGGGCGATGACGAAAGGATGTCCCTGGGGGAAAGCTCGAGGGATACTGCTGCTGACAGCTTTAGGTCGGTGATGTCCGTAGAAAAGATGGGAAGTTCGTCGAGCAATGAGACGGCTAGGATGTTGGGAGGATTGGATGGTGAGATGGATCTGACCCCACCTTGGAGACGCTCGCGAGTGAAACACGTGTTCGGGGAGACCAGTCGTGACGTACCGCGAATCTCGGGGCTACGTAATCTCCACAAAAGTCTGAATCTCGACGAACAGACCAGTACCAAAGATCTGTTGTTGCATCTGTTGGAGGAATGGGACGAAGTTGCTATCAGACCGACAGGAGTGGGCAGGAAATCGGTCAGCGTGGACTGGTGCGGTGAGGATTCGGTTGCCAGAAAGACGATGAACTCTTTGGCAGAGTACTTCCAGTCGAAGCAACAGAAAGCGACCACCTCTAGCGTCAGTGCGACCGCGCCGAACTCGATACATCGTTGATTTCGAGGGTTCGTTTCCCCGAGGTTCGAGGACTTGGCTGCTGATTGTTGCTCGCGACTTGCAAACGATTTTTTTGTTACTCGTCGCGAAGTTTCTCAGGGCGATTCGAGCAATGAGACGGATGGGGATGATGATGTTGTTGGTGCCGTTGTTTGATATGCGTCGTTTTTTGCACGGGACTTCGCGAATGAAAATGTTTCGTGGATTATGTGAAATTGGACGGGATTGTCGTGTGGGATTCGGTTTGTATCGAATGGAAAGAAATTTGATCTGTGAATAAAACAGATTTGTATTATACACTTGTGACGTTTCATTTCGGAGATATTCATTCTTGGGTATAACTATTTCAATGAGGTTTTTTAAATGTTATTCTTGAGTTTTCTTTTCGTCGTTTTAACGACACTTTTTTTTGACAAAAGGTTTTTTAGATCGAAATTACGAACGAAGTATTGAATATTGCATTGTTTACAACCACCGTACAATATAATGTAGTGGAACATCATGTTGGTATTGTATTTGTAAACAGCAAGAGAGGATGCATATTAAATAATTGTATTCAGTGGATGTTCGACTAAAATATCGAGGACTACTTCTATTTATTGTGTATAGTAAATGTGCGTGCGTAAACGGACGTAGTATTTATACGATAAGTTAAATTATGTAATTATTAACAGTCGTGTGTGTAACAATCTTTCACACGGATTGCTGCGAGATCACAATGTATCTGTGCACGTATTCTTGTTTTGTTGTATTATTTATACTATATATTTAATATAAAAGATTATGAAACGTACATTGTGAACAGTTTTATTTCACAAATTCCTCTTGCGGTAAAAGTAAGTGTGTAATCTTTAAAGTATCAAGTATTCTTTATCGATTATGAATGAAGTACAATCAACGTGCATGGCATCTATAGACTTAGAATAATATACTGGATGGTCCAAATCTAATGTACAAAATATTATTCGGAACCGTGGAAAATACACACTTTTAGAGAGCCAAATTAAACCAATTCCAAATCGCCAATCTTGGTTAAAATCAGCTAAGGATGAAGAAACTCCATTTGTACTAATTCAGATTGAAAGTTAAACGAACTTTAATATTAACGTATCGACCATTGATCATAAACCTAACTGCATTAATTGAGTCATTGCTTTACTTCAAAAAGCGAAGGTGCATTCTTTATCAAGTAAGTTACGAGAATGAAGTGAAAGTTCAACGAATATTTGTTCCATTATTTTGCTCCAGAGGAAGACCATCTGCAGGTCAACTGCTGGAGCACCGTTGGCTGGAAGCCGCTTTGGACAACCCAATCTGTAAAGTCCGATTAAAGCGTTATGTCATCAAGAAGAGATGGGTCAAAGCCGTTAATACCATACTAGCTTTGAAACGCATGGGCGCCCACCTAGATCTAGAGTTAGTTTGATAATCTATTTTTAGTTAGTAAATCAATCATTGAGCTAGCCGTTTTCACGAGCACGTTGAATGTAGAAACCACCGCAGGGATTTCTAGAGTCGGATATCAAAATCACAAGCTTGGACCAGTGTAACTCTATTCAAAGTATTATATTCTTCCACTCGCTATAGTATATAGACAATTACTAATGAAGAATCGTTCGAAAATGCTTGTAACGTTTTCCCTTTTTTTTCATATTAGGTGTTGCTGTTTTATAGTTTAACGTTTTGTAATTTGTAAATTTTGAAAGACGCGTACCAGTGCCTCGGTTTACGCGTGTAATTTTGCATGCAACAGTATTATAAAATTGGCACTGGCATGACAACGGCGCGACGGAACGGTAAAAATAATTCCAAAGACGAATTATGTCGAAAGAGAATTGTACAATAATTCTTGTCTTGTTTTGTAAATGAATTAGCTGTAATTAAATTATTCTGTTATTTCTTGAAAGGATACCAATGTATACATCCGTTTAGTGTTCTACTATTTTATTTATCGTCACGGCAGGCATGATTAATGCAAAAATAAATTCACCGTGCGATGAGTTGCGTAATTGGAACTCGCGAAATTAGTTCGATAAATGTATACACGATCAGTTATATGTATCAACCAAGAAACAGATACACATTCAGCTACATGATCATCATTAATTTATATTAATATATTCTGCACATTATGATTACTCTTGAAGTTTATAATTTTCGATTCTATATTAAATTAATGCGATCAGAAAATATCTCTTATTTTACGATCCTCATAAACCACGTTTAGATTTTACGATCTCGAATATTTACTGTATAAATAATGTACAAAATACAATATATTATATTCGTAATAAATTTTCCTAATTACATGAAAAACGTATAAAATTAATTGTAATAAAGTCCTTTTCATTGCCCATATTACAGTTTTCATTACGTTAGACGTAAAGTTGAAACCTTCTGGAAATTAATAACACGGTTGAACTGGGGACATCCCCGAATATGTACCATGATATTTTTGTGACACGACATTTCTATCACACGACTTTTCTATAACACGACATTTCTATAACATGGAAATCCTATAGCACGGTACTCCTATATCACGGTATCCCCATAACACGGTATTTCTAAAATATAATCTTATAACACAATATTCCTACAACACTGTATTCTTATAACACGGTATTCCTATAAGACTGTACTCCCATAACATGGTACTCCCATAACACGATGTTCCTATAACATGGTGATTCCTATAACAGGGTATTCCTATAACACGGTTGCAGAATTGTGAGTGGAATAGTAAAGTTCTGTTAGCTTTTTGGAATCAAGCCTTGTTTTTTTCATATATATGGATTACCTGTATTTAATTTTCTAGTATCTATAATATATAAAAAAATTCGCAAAAACTTTTTCTGTCCCAAACGTTAATCGCGATTGCATCGATTTACAGACGGCATTTCTGAGACGACAACGCATCTGCTAGTCGGCCTGTCCTTAACGACCTGTAATAAATACCGAAAGGTCGTGTTTGACGCCACCCGACGCCACCGCGTGCGAAATACATACATACATACACGCCTTCGGACTCAAAATTCCTGAGGGCGTGCGCGCGTATCGCGAATTTACGAGGTCTGCCACGCGATCGGAATTCGTATTATGTAAATACACACACGTATGTAACGCACCGGTCGTGCCTTTAAATAAAGTCTTCTACAGTGTCGTACAGAACCACGAAGACGTCGAGCTGTTCTACTGTATTAATAGCTATAGATCCACCTGTTGTCCGCCGTCATGGTTCTTGCTCTATTCCCCTTCGTTCGATGCTACGAAAAGAATGCGAGGGGGTTTGTCGTCAGACACCGAATCCGTCTAAAATAACACTGATTCTCGAAATTGATCGAGGCAATTTGTTATTTTACATTTTTACTCATACAACCATAGGCAGACCTGCACAGCACGTGTCGTGTCAAGGTTTTGTTTAACACTAGAACTACCGACGATAAACGAATATTCGCTTCGATCGGTGGATAAACGTGAAAATTTTTTGAACATTTAGAAATTTAGAATTTGACTAATTTCTTCACTTTCATATTGTAATAAAAGGTGCAAAAGATCTGAGAAAATTTATCGTCATAGCATTTTAATCATCGTTGTAAATTGTTGTTAAAATTGATACGACTGTAATTGTTTTTGGTATTTATACTCCGCCTGCAGACCAAAACGCGCATCACGTGGGATCTACTAGAAAAGAATGGGCGCACTGAAACTATTTCTAGCTAAAAATATCATAAGCAACGTATAATATGAGTTTGATACTTTATAATTGTGAATTGTTATTCATTATAACTAAACTTCGGATTGTATGCATTTATAGTCTATAGTGGTCTTGGAAAATACAATAAAGGATACAACTTCTATCAAGCCCAACAAGTTTCCTATTTTATTCTGAGCCCAATACGACACTTAAGAGAAGAAAGAAGTTCCAAATTTGATTTTGTCTTTATGAATTACTTTAGAAAATATCATTTTGCACAAAAATCCGCAGTTTAATTATAACTAATAGAAGTCGAGACATAGAGTAACATGTAAGATATGGTTCTTCTAATGAATTCTCACATGGAATAATTTTTGTTTACCTTAAAATCATTGGATAATGTCTGCATCGTAAGTCTATAAACATGTTTATACCATCTATGTAACAAGGAAAGGCAACAAGGAAATCTAGTGGCTTCCGTTTTCATCGTGCACTGAATTACCGACATGAGAACACAATTTGGTTTGCTTCTGCTGCTAATGCAGTTTTCAATTTAAGAGAGTATTTTCGTTTGAAAAATTCATCTTGTTCGTGCTACTACGATATCATTAACATACACATAACATTCAATGCATTTTCTGGGCAAAATTTTGTGGACCATTACCATTTCAGTGTTTCACCTGACGTTACCGACAAAGCACGAATGCTCGTAATGTTCTGATAAAAATTATGCAATATTAAATGCAGTATTCAAATATATTTACATTAAAATTTATCAACCTACAGATTTTACTCTCCAAAAAATAAGGAAAGTAAAAAAATAATTTACTAATTGCAACTGCAGTTTCATTTATTCCATCAGATCCCTCCACAAATCATCTTTAAAGTTAGCATTAAATTTGATCATTTACTTTATCAAGACAATCTTGAAAAGTAATTGTAGATATCTCAACGGTTTTTCGGCCAGTTTGTTTTCTTTACAAATCACGAAATGCAATATTAAAACAATATAGCAATTACATTACCATCGTGAAAATTGTGTTTGGACCACAGGGAATATCACTGGAAAATATGAACAAAGTAATCCCAATAAATGTCCCGACACGATCAACAGCCAACAAAACTGACAGGCCCCATTCAGCGATGATCACTTCACGTCTTATCACTTTAACTTCTTCGACGCGACTAAACCCTTAGGCCGTCTTCGACTGGTCACGATCGGTTGATTCGGATCGTGATTGGTGGATCAGTGGGCGAGGGTAGCTCCCCTTCTTATCCCCTTCTAATTTCTATTTTAACGAAATATAATATTCAGCACCATATTACACTTTCGTACGACCTTTTTTTTACGTATACCTGCGATTAGCTCAACGGGCACTGACCCTCCTAAAACGGAACAATAGACGCACAAGAACGATTTCCCAGAAATTTCATTTAGCAGCAATGGTTATAACAATGGTTATAAACAATGTCCAAGCCATATGTTTTGTGCGTCTGGTTGACCAATTTTCCAAAATTTATATTCCAATGTACCCTACAACTAATGAATGATACCAGGTTATCTCCGAAAATTTGTTATTTCACTTCGTTTTAGATGGAAAGTATTGATGTACAATGCCTAGTAGTATTTTGACTGTCCCCTTCTCAAAGTTTTGAAACATACGGTGCTTTTCATACAAAAATGGGTATTCCACGTGAAGCAGATGACTTTTGTTGTATTATACTTTTATACATAAATAATATACTCAAGCATATTTAGTTATTGATCATTTTATACGTCACAATGTTATTCATATTATTGATTACATTGTTTTCAATCTAAAAGGATAAATGAAACTACTGTTCAATCATACGTGCATTATAAAAAATTTACATAACAATACATATACGTGTTCATAATAGGAATATTAAACGTGATTACTTTTTTATACGCGAGAAAAATGTAAAAGACCCGGCGGGACTTGAACCTACGACTTCTTTCTACATTCTAATACCATCGACGACTCCGACGAGGTAATAGACTTTTCATCTTGTGGGAGTTGGTGGCCCACCTAAACTGTAGTACCGACACATAAAACAGCCTGTGATGTTAGCGACCTCTACGTTATGAGAATGGTGAATCTGCGGTGGATAGAGACATTAAATGGAAATGAGGCGACGTCGACCCAGAAATGTTGACTGAAAAAATACATTGAATGAAATGTCTACTTTTATACATCGTCTGTGGTTTTGATGTATCGTACGAGAAACGTCATATTATTTTCTTAATTTCGGAAATTATAATTATTAATATTACTGCTGATTATTAGTACCAGCAATTGTTGAGATTGTATACTTTTACCAAAATGGTAAGTAAACAGTACTTTTTAACATAAACAACAATAATTCTCCAGATAAAGTAGAATGTATTTTCAAGTATACAGTAACAATTTATTGTCAGTTATGATTTGATTGTTTAAAAAATAGGTTAGTACAATTAAAGATTATATTTTTAAGATCATTCTCAGCTTTCATAATAATGTTCATATTATGTTTGAATTTTAGGATGATACTTTACAGCATTGGAGTCCATATGCCAAAGTATACGATCCTTTAAAAGCTGGCAGTATTGATGGCACAGATACAGAGCCACACGACAAAGCTGTCACCCGTGCAATCCAGGCACATTATGAACCACCTCATGGATTGAAATCAAAGCCAGAGAGAACATTGTTTGTGGCCAGGTTTGGTCCAAAAATTACCAAATACGATTTGAAGGATGTATGCATTTTATATCTTTGTGAGATCAATACAATTGCACATATATTAAGCATCAATAAATTTAGTTTTTTTGTAGGTACGGAGATGTTCTCTCAGTGAAAGTTATAGTAGATGTTGTAACTGGCCTATCTGAGGGCTATGGTTTCGTAGAAATGAGAAACGAAGATGAAGCTAGGAGGGCTGTTAGACGTTCTGTGGATGCTACTTTGAGAGGCTATAGAATCTTTGTTGATTATGAGTGTGGGCGTACCATGAAAGGTTGGAAACCAAGGAGACTCGGTAAATTATATTAAATTATTTTAAAAAGCCTGAGGTATATATGCTTAGTTACTATATTTCTGATTCTTTTCCTTTTGTAGGTGGTGGTTTTGGTGGCAAGAAGGAATCAGGTCAGCTAAGGTTTGGTGGAAAGGACAGACCATTTAAAAAGCCAATTGTGCCCAATATTATCAGACATCACAAATAACATAATTTTGTACTTAGTATCTTTTATATTTTTAATTCCTTAAGTATTTAATTTTATTGTACTTTAAATTGAATAAAATGAGGCCCTTTGGAACTGCTCAACAATATTATTGTAGCACATCTGTACTAGCTGAAAATTTAGTCTGTAAACTGTTTCGGTTTTGAATGCGATCCAATACAAATATTCGGGACCTGGATTTCTCAGGTGTCCCTTATGCTCATTGGGAGTAACGTTTGTAATACATATTATGAAACAGAGATTTGATAGTGCATTTTCGTCTCTTATTTGCAATGTTCGTATTGCAACAAAAACAGTTTCCTATATTTTTTATAAGTACTTAAACAACCTGTAACGCATACTATTTTGAAGTGAAACAATTTTTTTAAATCCGATGAAATATTCTTTTTCACATTTATCAAAGGCTTCGCGAGAAACTCTATCGGTAAAAAAAAGTATTTCAGTTCTTTTTCAATCCAGTATCGAACCTGGGTTATATTTGAACTTTATTGATGCACACGTTCTAGAGTTTCCGTCACTGATGTCACTCAGAAAAATGTATTTTTTTCTCGCATTGCGTAAATCCTGACCGGTGCCAAATCCCCTTCGTGAGTTATTTCCCCGCGTTCGCTTTCTATATTTACAAAATACGTTCACAATAAAAAACTAATTTTCCGAAATAAAGTGTAGGTTTTCGATTACATGTTCCAACTATTCCTATTAAAGAATCTTCAAGGAAAGACACCTAAGTAAAATCCTTCATTGTATTAGAAGAACAGCAGTATATATTACAAATGTAAAATAAAGACTATAAATTAACAAAATTTAAATATTTATATTGCAAAAATAATTTGTAATTAATAATCTTGTAATTCCACCTGGCTAGAAAACCTCGTTAATTTATTTACTAAAACCATTTTCAGATACCCAAGATCGCAGGCTATTTCCGCAAGCCTGGTTAACTATTTAACTCGTTTTTCCCGAAATTAATTAACGCATTAGTGGTTAATGACTTTCAACGGGGTAATAACGATACATAAAGGAATACCATAACTAGCTTGATTTCATTAACTGGACCTCGTTCCATTCTGATCGTTCTAACATTACATAGGTACATCGAATCAAGTTCACTGTTGTCTTTCGAGTTTCCTGCCGAACAGTAGAACAATCGAATGGTACCCCTTTGACTGCCATGTATCCTGCGCCCACAAAATGTTCACCGAGACAAACTCCGTCTTTTTATTAAAAATTGAAAACGTATAAGTCAAGATTTATCAAAAGAATTCTCTGAAGCAATATTAATAAAATATTAAATAAAAATAAAATCAGAAGTAAAATTCGTTGTCTCGATGCGATCTTTCCGACAATTCGATAATAAACGTGTCCGACACACTATCCCCATTGTCCCTCGGTTCGATTTCGAAAAGCAGGCATCACGTGCGTAAAACGAAAGTCCCCAAACTATATCCCCATGGTCGCGTCGCGTGGGCGTTGAAAAGTTTCCCCGTGTGCGAAGAAACGCGATAGGCAATTAATCACCGATCACGGGTGGATCAACGGAAAGCCAAGGAGACGAGTCTTCTGGCGCGTTGTGAACCGACGGCGTCGGCGTCGTGGAACTTTATACTCGAGCGTCGCGGCGCCCTCTCTCTATCGGGGACCCCCTCCATATAAGGAGCCGCCTCGTGGCCCGACGTCGACCACGCGGCCGAACATTGAGCCTCCAGGCTACCTCTGATAAGGTAGCCTCCTTCCTCGATCTCCCGCCGCCGTCGTCGGCCACGCCAAGGTCCCCGCTCGGAGGGCCAACCCACATTCGTTTATCGCGGCTCCTATTTCGTTTTGGTACATCTCGGACGCTGCTCCCGTTTTCACAAAACAACGGGCCGGTTGTGCCTTTTTTTATTCACGGACACAGCTACCGAATGCGCTAATAGAACACGGAGGAAGAACCACTCGGCGCGATTGCACGGGGAACGGATTGTCTAGGGATTTTTTCTTTGATATTGAATTCCACGAGTGTGGTAGGCCTGAGGGAATGTTCCAAAGTCCCCTTACCGACGATACGTGATATTTTCGCGGTTCAGTGTTATCTGTATGAAATGGAAACAATTAGAATGAAATAAAATAAGAGGCTAGAATTTGCAAAAGGACCCGTGGTGATCTCCTTGTTTAGGGATATTCGCGGTTTCATTCATTATAGGGTTACTCTGCTACACCCGCTGGAATGTATTCGAACCGGACGTAGTAGAAATTGTTAGCGTTTTGGAGGTAAAGGACAAGTGGTTTCGGTAACGGCGAAAGGGGCGGAGGGATAGAGTTATTTTGATGTGGATCGAGCATTAACCCTGTGATCGCGCCGCTGCAACAGGGGTATTTAACTCTTTTAGTGGTTCTGGGTGTTATGTAATTATTTACGAGGCATTTTACGGGTTCTGTTTTTATATTCAAACCGGCTGAGTCGTTTCGGTAATTTATTTTATGGAAAGAGATAAATACAATATTAGGTGTGCCGTGATCGTTAGGTTTTGAAGATTTTCCATCATTCTGGTTATTAGAATGATTGCTTTAGAATCGAGAGATATTATAAAAATTTCGTTATTTTGTAGCATCCTCTATTTTTTATCACAAGATTCTATTGTAAATAGATGACACGTCTGAGATTTCATCTTTACGGTTTACAGGAGAGATGGGGCTTCTTATCGCAGATAAGACGGATATTTTGCGAAGCTTTTCTCGGAACATACTGCACCCTCTTCGGGCAGCGGAGAGGATATTCCTGAAGACGAAAGAGGAGGGTTGAAATTCCGAGGGTTCTTGCGATATATGGACCGCACCGTTGAACGACATTTGTGAAACGGTTTTTAATTCGCTGCAATTTCCGCCTCTCGTCCGTCGGCGTGACCGCAACCACGGGTCTCGAGATTTTCCACCCGAACGTTAAAAATATATCACCATTTCCCTTCTTCCATCGCGGAATGCACGCCGGAAGTGAGAGGCGAAAGGGGAAATGTGAAAAGGTTCGCGAGTGGCCCGATACACTTACGAATAAACTGCTATTTCCGAGTAGTTAAAATTACACTCCTGGACTACATAAAGCTCTTATCTAATTGGGGAAATTTAGCTCGAGTCTCCACTTATCTGGAGACTTGTTTCTTTCGAGAAACGGAAGAAATATTGGGATATTTTGGAAACTACTGTGTTGATTTAGCATCTACATAATTCATTACAATTGCAGTAAGAGTGTGGTACGATTTAAATTCAGAATACCTTTCCGATTTTTGCTCAAAGTGACGAGAATGACGGAGGCAAATAAGAGATATCCCTAATGTAGCATAAATGCTTGAGTTTTCTTTTCGAGAAAACATAGAATTTTATAAAAAATAGTGGATTATAAAACCACCCTAAAATTTTCAATTCCTATGTATTGTGGTTAACATAAAAACGAACCAAGTATGCCATGTCTGAAATTGTGTCGACAACTAATGTTTCTTCAGAGGAGGATAGATTATGTTCCTTAGAAAAAAAGTGGTTTGTTTTTATTTTAACCACAATACAGAAGGTTCGAAAATTTCAGGGTGGTTTTATAATTATGCCACGCAGAGTGTTGCGAAGTTCCAAACGATGCGACGGAAATCTGCGCGAGAAAATGTTGACGCGTGAACCACGGGTGCAATCCCAGCACGAGCGAGTTGTTACACCGGGTTTAATAATCCCGCGGAAGATCCGAAGTAATTCAATTAGTGTGTATGATCTAAGTAGACCAATTAACTCCGACCGACGAAAGTTCGTGAAACTAATTGAACTATTACAGAAGTCGGTGAGTATTCATGAGCCTTCGCCCAACGTTTCGCCACCGCGCGCGTATAAGATACAGAATAATCTTCGTCGGCTAGAAGTGGTCCTAAGTGTGTTGAAAGATACATGGCTCCTCTAAATTACCCGAACTCGTCGAAAAGTTAACGCCTGTTATCGAAAACCGACGATCCGCCGGGATATACGATAAACGAGGAAAATAATAGGGTAGCTAACAGCTTTTCTCATCATCATCCCCCAATATCCCCTGAAACCATTCTCTACCATCGAGCCGGAGGAGTGATCGACACCACTTTGGACAAGTTCTGACGCACCACCGCTTGATCGAGGCAAGGCATTGAATTCAATCCTAAACTTTGTACACAAGAATCTATTATATATAATAAATTACTCTTTAAAGTACATATACTACCGCTCATAAATATTACGACACCTTTCTTAATGGTTCTATCTCCAAATAATAACATTATGATAATGAGATAAAATTTTGTTAAATATTATAGTACATAACATGTTTGATTATTTCACTACTTTCCTGCTTCAATAATATTAAACTTCGTAAGCTTTAGCCTCACTTTTCTCAGTTTAGAAACAGGTGGAGATAGACCAATTAAGAACTAGAACAACGATATATAGCTGCAAACGACACAGTGCCGCTACAAAACGATTCCCAAACAAGAAAATCCACAACACGTCCCTGTTATTTCTGACCAATATTCCACAAATCATTTCCTCCAGGAATTAACTCTATTGTATAGATATCAATGGATCATTTATTAAATATTAAGGCGCGCCTGCCGCCCGTTTCAGAAATCACACGACAAAGTCACCGCGTAGTTGTGTCGCCGTTCAAGCTCCTAATCAAGGTATTCGAATATTCGGCTATCCCTACCCAATTCTGTCGTTCTCATCGATGATTCGTGGCGGACCGGCGGTCACGCGGGGGCGGCGAACAGGCGAAAAAGGGGTCCACGGGAAAAAAGCCACTGGGCAGATCCCGCAACGGGGATCCAAGAAGGAGACGAAAATAGTAGCGGTGCCAGGATCGTATCACGCTCGCGCCCCACGGACGTGGTGGATCCGCTCTGCTATTAATAGGAAACGCGGACGAAACGGAGCGGCGGGATCCGAGTCGGCCCCTTTGCCGGGTAGGCATCTATCCGAGTCTTGGTGCTGTCCAGACTGAGCCCACAGGACTTCAGAGCCGCTCGAGCTGTCGCGGACTCCACATTCCACCAGCAAAAGCTCTTCTTCCGTGCGTGCCTGTTTCAAGCATCTGTTTAGCCGACACATTGACACCGTTCGAGTGTAAGTTTCCAACTATTAATTATCAAATTGTGCTACAATTCGAGAGTATACACGTTGGTTTTACATTCGGCTAGAACGACACAACGCGGATCGGGACACTTATATTCAGTGATAACCAGATCGTGGACACCATCGGTGTACCCTATGTCCGTTGTTAAACCGGTATAATATTTGGTGGTTGCTACGGTTCGACTTTTATAGTGAGCGTTAAAAATCGGTCAGTGCGTCTCTAGCTTCCTCTTCTCCGTCGTCTTCGTCGCCGTTCGTCGTGAAACAACTCAGTTCCGAGATTTCGGGGCCTCCAGAAAACGGGACGGAAGTGTGCAAGTGTGAAAACGTATTCCTGGAGATTTGGGGCGCTGATCAGATATCGAGGGCCGTGTTTTGTCGCGAGGATACCAGAATGAGTATACTCGTAATAAAGGGATAAGGAACAAGGATTGTGCAAAATGGACGCTGATAACTGGTTACGGAAGGATTTAAGGTGCCCTAGCGGAAATACCGAGAGGTGTCTGACCATACCACGGATTTGTCTACTGAAACTGTTCCCGGAGAGATCGGACTCTGACCACCAGGTGAAACTTCGGAGGTCGATTGGGGTGAACCTCGCGCGAGGGATCGGATTAATTTCCGCGGGGGAAGCTTGAACTATGCGCTCCCAAACTTACCCACGGAGGAGTTTCGTCCCGTCTTTGGGTACCTTTTGCTACAGCGCACGCTTTTCCGCGACATGTGATGCATTAATCGTTTCGGGGAATGTTACGGTCTTCGAGAAGTTTGGGACGAGTTTGTTGCGGTAAACGGGTATCAGTTTCGATGATATCGCGGAGCAGAACGGTGAGAAAGAATATTTTAAATGCTTAACAAGCGAAGAATCACTTTTGTGTCTTTGGATCGTAAATGGTAAATGATATCGCCATACGCTTTTGTGGGGAATTTTAGGGCAATGTGAACACTAACAGGTCGGGATGCACAGAATGGAAATGCCTTCGAAGCTTCTAAATATGGCGGTTCAGGGCGCTACCGATAATAGACACGAATCGCTTTGGCGCCGCGCGCGTGTTTAACCGTAAAGATCGGATATCCCGTTTCTTGACATTCTGACGCACGTAATTATGTAATGCCCTTCCTTCTTCCATGTTGCGTGTCGTATATCGTGCATGGTATCACCACACGGGAATCCTGAAATTACATTTTCGAAGTAGAGAAACGGTCCTTCGAACTCGAGGACTTCCGCCTTCGAACAGGCCCGGTTTAACGAACTTTTATTCCGTACGAATTTCATTCCAAACGAATCATTCCGCGCGAACTGGTGAAGAAGGGGGAGAATTAGTCCTGTCGATTCGACGAAAAAAAGGATGGTCGAAGTTGTGGAGTTCGATTTCTCTCCGTTGGGGACAAGGAAACGATCGGAAAGTTCGGTGACGACAACGGTGACGAAGACGTGATCGAAGAGGAGGCGGAGGAGCTGCCATAGAGAGCGAGGGAGTCGATATACAGAGAAAAAGGGGAAGAGAGGGAGAGGAAGGGAGAGAAAGATAAGAGAGAAGGCTAGATGAACGAAGGAAGAGAGCGAGGGAGAGAGGTGTAGAGAGTCGGTTTTCTAAAATTAGAGCGACGAGGAAGAGAAGGGGGATGGCTCCTTATAGAGCTTGCGACGCCGAGCTTGCGGCCAGGGTTAGCAAACTGGCACTCTCTTTCTCGTCTCAGAATATCGGATTACCTTTGCAACCAGTGCATCGTCTCGCCCCTTCGACTTCCTTTCTTTTCTAGCTTCTTCTTTCTCGCGCCCCGCAAGGTTCGATTTTATGCTCCGGGGCCCCGGCACAGCCCACCCTCTACCACCACCACCCCTCATCGCTCCCTCCCCCCTCCCCCCCCCCCGCCACTTTTGTCTTTCGTTCTCCACGCGGCTTGTTTATTTGAAATTTTCACTACCGGGAAGAGTGCAGCCTGTGGCGCCTGCGCGGACGAAGCGAGGGGAGACGATCGGATCGCGGGGAGTTTGGGACTTGTTCTACTTTCTGTTTCTTTTTTATTCGAGAAAAATCTCCACGTGACCTGGTATTTTTCTTAACCCGGAAATCGGACGACGGTGACCGACAGTGTGATATCGTGTGATACGTGAACGATCGTGATAATAAAATTGTTCTCGAGAAGATCGGGAGGATCGGTTTCGATTTCACGATAATTCCCCCGGTCGTTCTTCGTTCGTTTCGTTCGTGATCGGTGTGAATCGGATATCTGTAAGATATTCCTGGAGAACGTTGTGTTAATCGGTGATCTGTTTCCGTGTTGCAGCACCTTAACCACCCGCAAACATGTCTGACGACGAGGACCAATACTCGTAAGTATTGCTCACCCGGTCAACCGGAACGATTCTAACGTGTAATCTAATATCGTTAATCTCGACATTCTTTACTGCTTCGAATTTCACCTAACAATTGCAATTCGGAGGATGTATTTTTCGATAAACTCGAAACCCAAACGGAAGGTTATATAAGACGAGCACGCACGTGTGTCGGACGTAGCGTGAAAAATGTGAACCTAGTGGACGTTGAAATTGTCCGTGAAATGTTGCCGCATTAGACGGGCAGCTCGAGCAGCAGGGTATGTCGGGGAATATTTCAGCGAACGTGTAACATTAAGTAAGAGATAGTACGGTAGCCAATCGAAGCGTCACAGAGAAAATCTGTCGTTGATAAATCAAGCCTTGGTCTTTCTTAGCGGCGATTCGCAGGCGAATCCGCAGATTTCTGGTCGAAATTCTCGACCCTGACATTATTCTATGTAACTCGAGGATAAACGAGATTCCCCCCCCCCCCAGTCGATCGTTCTCACACCACCGAAATCATATATATACTAGACAGAAAAAAGAAACAAACGAATTGCGTCAACGTAAGATAAAAAATTCTTCGTACTCTTTGTGTCCTGACCGTGTCCACCCCAACAGTCCGTTTAATACTTTGTTATCGATGCACCCCAAACCACCCCCAGTTTTGTTTGTGAGACTATAGCCCCCCACCCCCACCCCCAGATACCACGTGTCTTGAACAAAATTGTGACTGTTGCACGATACCAACCCCCCTGTCGATTGCTCGCTAAAAACGTCCTTCTCTCCGGTAATTGTATCATTATTATTATTTTATCGAATGGTTTGTTTGGAGAAAAAAAAAGGGATCGAAGGGTAAACAAATTTCGATCTATTTCGAAGACCGAAAAATATCGGAACGGACACAGGGGGACATTGTGTGTATATCCACGATGATTCATCCGGTTGGATCCGCCTGGATCTATATTCAGTTTCGGGCGGACGGACCAGTCCAAAAATGTCGAGATAAATCAAATCTTTCCACGGCGATATGCCTATATTACGTCTCGTCGGCGTGTTCCTTATTTAGAAGCTGTGAACTTTCACGAATATTAACGCGAGGTGGATATTTAAAACCTTGAATTTGAGGTATCGAATGGTTCGATATCACGGGAGAAGTGTTTTTTTTAGCGTTGGCAATTTTTAAAACCCCCCCCCCCCCCCCAACCCCATTTATCGTTCTCTTATATATCTATTATTTCATTTGATTAATGGTCTCGTATGTTCACCCGTGTCCATTCACTAACAATTGTTCTTTTTCCATTTTCTCTTTTGCAGCAGCGAGGAGGAGGTGGTCGAGGAAACGTAAGTGTTCGCCGTTAATTCTAAAAACCCCCCCCCCCCCCCAGTCCTGTGACGCACACGACTAACGTCCATCGTTTTCTCGTTTTCTTTCTCATTCCAGGAAGTAAGTTCCAGAGGCTTGTCTGCGTTTAGATGACCGCTACCATCGCGGCGATTCACCGCGGAGTCCAGTTTTTCTCGTTTTCTTTAACGGATCTCGGGTTCTAGACCTCCAGTTCGGGAGCTACCGGTCTCTCGGGCTAGATAGACGCCCGAGAGACATTTTTCGTGTCGTTTCTCGCACTGTGATCGTTCTTCGATTCCGCCTTTCGACGATCGAGACGGCTCCCCCTTTGGAAATCAGCCTTTCAACTGTCTATCTCAGACTTCGTGCGAGAGAGAAAGATCGTTCTATTCATCGACGGGTATCAAATCGAGGGAAATCCGTTTCTGTGACCCACCCACAACTTCAAATTCGTTTGATTATTCGATCGTGACACTTGTATATTTTCTCTATGGATGCACGTAATCGGTTTCTAATAATAACGAAGGGAATATGTTACAGCAATTTTTGGTGACGATATCTCGTCGCGTGTCTATCATTATCGGGTGTCGCCGCGTCATTCAGCCGCCAATAATTGTGTGTGTCCCGAGCGCGAATACTTGTGCAACTTTGGTGTTCAACGGGCAGGCACACCGCCCACCGATAGACATTAAAACACTACACTCACCAAGTACGAAGCCCGGTTAGAATTAGAACGGCAACGCTCGTTTTTACGAAAATAGGACGCGCCGCCGGTTGGCGTTGCTGTGTCTTTTCGGTTGCCCGTCTTGGATACTGGTTTATATTGGCAGAAAAGAATCTTTCTTTATTTCTGAAGCGACGTACTCTTATTTGACGCGAATGATAGATCGTCCTGTGAGGGAACATTATCCATGGGTCCCAGAATCAGGGAATCCTTCGATTATACTGAACATAAGACTTATATTAATAATCTTAATTCAGGGGTTGTAAACTGTTATAATACCGATTTCGGTCCTTGGAACAGTTTCACAGAACAGTTATTTTCTGTAACAGTTATGCAGAACCGAAATTTCCATCTATATTGATTTCGGATTCTATTCTAGAACTGTTATTTTTGCAGTTCTCATATCGATTTTATTTCAGTTCTGTGCTGGATACGGTCACAGTTTTAATAGTATCCATTTTTATATCGGTTACATTTGGGTTTTGCATCGGTTTTTTATTTACTTCATAGATATCAGTATTTTAAAAATAAACATACATACAACAAAGTTAAGGAAAACAAAAATACACGAGAAAGAAGAACGTAAACTAATAATAATAATAACATTGTAATTAACGCTGATTTTCATTCTTCATTTTTACTATAATTTAAACTTATCATTAATATTCCATTAATTAAGCCATAGGCAATTGATGGTGTAATAGATTAGACCTTTCCCTGACATATTTTTTTACATACGTATATTTGATGAAAATTACTTTAAAAATTAACATAGAACCGATGTAAGAATGAATATTATTACAATTGTAACCGTCACTAATATAGACCCGAAGAAAAAACGGTTCTAGAAGAACAGACGGAAATTTCGGTTTGTTATAACACTTATTCAAAATAAAAGTTCTTCATACCTGTTTGAGTAAGAATCGATATATAACAATTTGGAACAGCTATTTTCACTACGGTTTCAACCCCTGATTTTTATACTATAATACTGAGACAATTCGATAAAAAGTTCAACATGACGTTATGATATTTCAGTATTCTCAACTTTCGTCGTTTTTCATATTAAATCCTCCGAGCATACAAGAGTCTCGCTCGTGAAAAATTACGTTGCGCAGTCTAGAGCGATCTCTCTCTCTCTCGAACCAACCGTTAAAATTAGAACAGTCGTGCCTCTCTCACAAAAATAGAGCAGACGAACGGCGCCGTGTCTCCGAATGTCTACTTATATATATTAATTCGCCAACGTCATAAAGCGATCCGGCTGGAAGGGAAGTCTGTCCTTCAATCGTGGACCGTGTTGCTATCCACGGGGACCGTGAGGAGAACGCGCATCAATTCGTTTAAACGAGTCATTCGTTCGCGACAAACACATCTATACAAGAAAAATACAAAACGTTCGACGGTTTCCTTCCAGGCGGTCGGTTACTGACGGTTCATTCCGCGAAACGATTTAGCGAGAGCATCGAGAAGAAATATATCGAGTCGTTTCACGCGGAAACCGGTCACCGAGAAATATTTCCTGTTCGCGTGGCCCCCGTGAATCGAAGTCGTCGGTTCCCATGGTCCACG